TGGGGCAGGGGAGTGTTGGGCTTATTCCAGAGGCAGATAGGGCAAGCTTCAACCACCTGTTTAAGGAGATTATGGACATTGGGAGTAGTCATGCATTTGATGAACCACTGATATAGGGCCTCCTGCCTGTAATGTGTGCTCTGGTGAGCTTGCCTGGTGACCTGCAGGGTAACAGCTGATGGGAGGAACTGCTGCCCATGACCATTAACCATCCATCCCAGATATTCTGGGCTTTTAAAATAGCCCCACCTCAAAGCCTTTTCCCTTTCTTCTGGGGTACATATGGGAGTGTAGGAGTTAAGGTGTGGGTGAGCTGGTAGGAGTGGCATTTGAAGTCCGTCCCCATCCTCTGCTACTTGTTTAGCTGCCATGTCTGCTCTTAGCTCTTTTTTTTTCGCTTCTCCCTTTAGTTGGCCTCTGCAGTGAGTAACTGCTACCTCCTTTGGCAGGAGTATAGTGTCCAGCAGCTGCATAATTTCCCTCCATTCTTTTTTTTCATTGGCGTATAATTGCTTTACAATGTTGTGCTGGCTTCTGCTATACAATGATGTGAATCATCTATATGTATACATATATCCCCTTCCTCTTGGACCTCCCAATCCTGCACTTCTAGGTCATCACAGAGACCCGAGCTGAGCTTCCTGTGCTTTATAGCAGGTTCACACTAGCTATTTTACAGGTAGTGTATCCTGTCAATCCTAATCTCCCAATTCATCCCACCCTCCTCTTCCCCCTCCATGTCCACATTATCCATTCTCTACGTCTGTGTCTCTATTCCTACCACGGAAATAGGTTCATCTGTACCCTTTTGCTAGATCCCACACACACGCGTTAATATACGGTATTTGTTTTTGTCTTTCTGACTTACTTCACTCTGTATGACAGATTCTAGGTCCATCTGCCTCACTACAAATAACTCAATTTCGTTCCATTTTATGGCTGAGTAATATTCCATTGTAGATATATACCAAATCTTCTTTATCCATTCATCTGCTGTTGGACATTCAGGTTGTTTCCATGTGCCGGCTGTTGTAAATAGTGCTGCAATGAACACTGGGGTACACGTGTCCTTTTGATTACGGTCTTCTCAGTATATATGCCCACTAGTGGGATTGCTAGGTCATATAGTAGTTCTATTTTTAGTTTTTTAAGGAACCTCCATACTCTTTCTCCATAGTGGTGGTCTCAATTTACATTCCCACCAACAGTGCAGGAGGCTTCCCTTTTCTCCACACCCTCTCCAGCATTTACTGTGTAGATTTTTTGATGATGGCCATTTTGACCGGTGTGAGGTGATATCTCATTGTAGTTTTGATTTGCATTTCTCTAATGATTAGTGATGTTGAGTACCTTTTCATGTGCCTCTTGGTCGCCTGTATGTCTTCTTTAGTGAAATGTCTATTTAGATCTTCCACCCATTTTTTGATTGGGTTGTTTTTTTGATATTGAGCTGCATGAGCTGTTTGTATACTTTGGAGATTAATCCCTGGTCGGTTGCTTCATTTGCCCATATTTTCTCCCATTCTGAGGGCTGTTTTTTGTTTTGTTTATAATTTCCTTTGCTGTGCAAAAGCTTTGAAGTTTAATTAGGTAACCCACTTGTATTTGTTTTTATTTTCATTACTCTAGGCGGTGGGTCAAAAAAGATTTTGCTGTGGTTTATGTCAAAGAGTGTTCTTCCTATGTTTTCCTCTAAGAGTTTGATAGTGTCTGCCCTTACATTTAGGTCTCTAATCCATTTTGAGTTTATTTTTGTGTATGGTGTTAGGGAGTGTTCTAATTTCATTCTTTTCCATGTAGCTATCTAGTTTTCCCAACACCACTTATTGAAGAGGCTGTCTTTTCTCCATTGTATATTCTTGCCTCCTTTGTCATAGATTAGGTGACCATAGGTGCTTGGGTTTATCTCTGGGCTTTCTCTCCTATACCACTGATCTATATTTCTGTTTTTGTGCCAGTACCATACTGTCTTCACTACTGTAGCTCTGTAGTACAGTCTGAAGTCAGGGAGCCTGATTCCTCCAGCTCCGTTTTTCTTTCTCAAGATTGCTCTGGCTATTCGGGGTCTTTTGTGTTTCCATACAAATTATAAAAATTTTTGTTCTAATTTGGTGAAGAATGCCATTGGTAATTTAATAGGGATTGCACTGAATCTGTAGATTGCTTTTGGTAGTCATTTCCACAGTACTGATTCTTCCAATCCAAGAACATGGTGTATCTGTCCATCTGTTTATGTCATCTTTGATTTCTTTCATCAGTGTCTTATGGTTTTCTACATGCAGGTCTTTGGCCTCCTTAGGTAGGTTTATTCCTAGGTATTTTATTCTTTTTGTTGCAGTGGTAAATGGGACTGTTTCCTTAATTTCTCTTTCTGATCTTTTGTTCTTAGTGCATAGGAATGCAAGAGATTTCTGTGCATTAATTTTGTATCCTGCAACTTTACCAAATTCATTAGTTTTCTGGTAGCCTCTTTAGGATTCTCTATAGTATAGTACCATGTTATCTGCAAACAGTGACAGTTTTACTTCTTTTCCAATTTGGATTCCTCTTATTTCTTTTCTCTGATTGCCGTGGCTAGGACTTTTGAATATGAGTGGCGAGAGTGGACATCCTTGTCTTGTAGCTGACTGTAGTGGAAATGCTTTCACTTTTTTACCTTTGAGAATGATGTTTGCTGTGGGTTTATCATATATGGCCTTTATTATGTTGAGGTAGGTTCCCTCTATGCCCACTTTCTGGAGAATTTTTATCATAAACGGGTATTGAATTTTGTCAGAAGCTTTTTCTGCATGTATTGAATCTATTGAGATGATCATACGGTTTTTATTCTTTAATGTGTTAATATGGTGTATCACATTGATTTGTGTATATTGAAGAATGCTTGCATCTCTGGGATAAATCCCACTTGACCATGGTGTATGATCCTTTTAATGTGCTGTTGGATTCTGTTTGCTAGTATTTTGTTGAGGATTTTTGTGTCTACGTTCATCAGTGATATTGCTGTAATTTTCTTTATGATATCTTTGGTGTTGGTATGAGGGTGATGGTGGCCTAGTAGAACGAGTTTGGGAATGTTCCTCCCTCTGCAATTTTTTGGAAGAGTTTGAGAAGGATAGGTGTTAGCTCTTCTCTAAATGTTTGATAGAATTCACCTGTGAAGCCATCTGGTCCTGGACTTTTGTTTGTTGGAAGATTTTTAATTACACTTTCAATTTTATTACTTGTGATTTGTCTGTTTATATTTTCTATTTCTTCCTGGCTCTGTCTTAGAAAGTTGTACCTTTCTAAGAATTCGTCCATTTTTTCCAGGTTGTCCATTTTATTGGCATATAGTTCCTTGTAGTAGTCTCTTATGATCCTTGTATTTCTGCCGTGTCTGTTGTAACTTCTCCTTTTTCATTTCTAATTTTATTCATTTGAGTCCTCTCCCCTTTCCTTCTTGATGAGTCTGGCTAATGGTTTATCAATTTTGTTTACCTTCCTAAAGAACCAACTTTTAGTTTTTTTGACCTTTGCTATTATTTTCTTCCTTTCTGTTTCATTTATTTCTGCTCTGATCTTTATGATTTCTTTCCTTCTACTGACTGGTTGCTTTAGGTATAAGGTTAGGTTGTTTGAGATTTTTCTTGTTTCTTGAGGTGAGACTAAATTGCTATAAACTTCCCTCCTAGAACTGCTTTTGCTGTGTCCTATAGGTTTTGGGTTGTCATACTTTGTCATTTATTTCTATGTATTTTTTATTTCCTCTTTGATTTCTTGAGTGATCTCTTGGTTATTTAGCAGTGCAGTGTTTAGCCTCCATGTGTGTGTTTTTAATTTTTTTCCTGTAATTGATTTCTAATCTCATAGTGTTGTGGTTGGAAAATATACTTGATACATTTTCAGTTTTCCTAAATTTACCAAGGCTTGATTTGTGACCCAAGATGTGATCTATCCTGGAGAACATTCCGTGAGCCCTTGAGAAAAAAGTGTATTTCCACTTTTGGGTGGAAGGTCCTGTAAATATCAATTAAATCTATCTGGCCTGTTGTGTCATTTAAAGCTTGTGTTTCCTTATTTTCTGTATGGATGATCTATTAGTGTAAGTGGGGTGTTAAAAGTCCCCCACTATTATTGTGGTACTGTCAATTTCCCCTTTTATGGCTATAAGCACTTGCCTTATGTATGGAGGTGCTCCTATGTTGGATGCATAAATATAATTGCTTTAGATTGATCCCTTGAGCATTATGTAGTGTCCTTCCTTATCTCTTGTAACTGTCTTTATTTTAAAATCTCTTTCATCTGATATGAGTACTGCTACTCCAGCTTTCTTGTGATTTCAATTTGCATGGCATATCTCTTTCCATCCCCTCAACTTTCAGTCTGCATGTGTCCCTAGGTGTGAGGTGAGTTTCTTGTAGACAACATATATATGGGTCTTGTTTTTGTATCCATTCAGCCAGTCTGTGTCTTTTGGTTGGAGCATTTAATCCATTTACATTTAAGGTAATTATTGATATGTATGTTCGTATTACCATTTTCTTAATTGTTTTGGATTTTTGTGGGTCTTTTTCTTTTGTGTTTCCTGCCTAGAGATGATCCTTTAGCATTTGTTGTAAAGCTGGTTTGGTGGTGGTGAATTCTCATAGCTTTTGCTTGTCTGTAAAGGTTTTGATTTCTCCGTCAAATCTGGATGAAAGCCTTGCTGGGTAGAGAGATCTTGGTTGTACGTTTTTCCCTTTCATGGCTTTAAATACATCCTGCCACTCTCTCTGGCCTGCAGAGTTTCTGCTGAGAAATCAGCTGATAACCTTATGGGAATTCCCTTGTATGTTATTTTTTCTTTGAATTTAATTTTTGTTAGTTTGTTCTTTAGTTCTTCTAGGTCTTTGTTAAAGACCTTGATCTGTGCCTCCATTCTATTTCTGAGATTTTGGATCATCTTTACTATCATTACTCTGAATTCTTTTTCAGGTAGGTTACCTTGCTCCTTCATCTGTAACATAGTTTGTTGTCTCTTTTTTTGATGGGTGGGACTGTGTTCCTGTTTTTTCGGCCTGAGGCTTCCAGTACTGGAGTTTGCAGGCAGTTGGGTAGAGCTGGGTCTTGGTGCTGAGATGAGGACCCTCTGGGAGACCTCACTCTGATTAATATTCCCTGGGGTCTGAGGTTCTCTGGTAGTCAAGCAGTTTGGACTCTGTGCTCTTACCACAGCAGCTCAGGCCCGACTTCCGGCCTGGGAACCAAGATCTCACAAGCTGCACAGCAAAAGAAAAGAAAAAAAAGTGCAGTACAATAACAAAGAATAAAAAATATAATTGAAACAACTACAACTAGGCAAAACAGAACCACAACATAAAAAAAAAAAAAAAGGGGGGGGGGGGAACAAGCCCAAAGGAGCAGAATAACAAAGTATAAAGATTAAAATATAATTAGAAAAATAAAGATTAAAATATAATTAGAAAAATAAAAAATTAGAAAAAATATAAATGAATCAACAAGAAGGTGAAACAACCACAACCTGAAAGAAGAAAAAAAAACAAAAATGCCAGACAAGGCCTTGGCTGTGGAGGCAGAGTTTAGACAGGGAGTGGAACCTAGGCAGCAGTGGGCTTTAGTGGGGGCAGCAGGGCCTAGGCTCAGGTCCTTGTAGCTGGAAAAAGCCTTGGGGGTGGGACCTAGGCTTAGAACCTGCACAGCAGGGAAAAGCAGCATGGCCTGAGGGGTGCCTTGCACTGTGGAGTTTGGAGGTAAAGGGGTGTGTGGGCAAGGTTGGAGGGGATCTTAGGGTGCTGTATGTAGAGTTAGGGTGCTGGGTGTAGGGGTGGGGCTTAGGCTTTGTGCAGCAGGAAGGAGACTCTGAGGGTGCAGCATTAGTCCTGGGTGCCCAAGAGGGCAGGGGAAGCACTCGTTGCTCCCTTCCATTCCTCTGCTCTCCTGAGGGTCTCCCCTGTCACTGCTGAACCCCTAATGTGGGTGGGCCCCAGTGGGTGTAGAAACTCCTTCCCTTCCCCAGCTGCCTCTCAGAGGCACCTGTCCCCTCAGTCTGGTCTTTACTTTTGCTCCCCCTTCCCTCCCTCCTACTCCCTCAAGACCCACATGGCTGAAGGGGGGCCTTGGTGGGCAGAGGGTCAGGCCTGGGATCTCAGCAGGCTCCCTGGGGCCCAAGTGGGTCAGGGAAATGCTGGCTGTGCTCCCTTCTGATCCTCTGCCCTCCCAACAGTCCCCCTGCAGGCATGGGAGCCCCTCCCCTACCCCAGCTGCCTCTCAGGGGTGCTGGTTCTGCTCCCCACCACCTCTCCCCCTTCCTCCCCACAAATCCTAAGCAGTCACTTAGGACATCCTAAGGGGTTTTCTGGACATCCGAGGGGGTTTTTTCCTTCAGTCCCTGGCTGACTCCTTGAACCCTATTCTAATTTACGGGTTTCTTTGCAGCCTATTGAATGCCCTGAAGTATCAAGTCCCTGAAATGTGTGAGGTGCTGCTGAAATGTGTGAGGTGCTGCTGACCGTTTTCCTCTTAATGGTTCCACCCCTAGAGTCCATGTCAGGAATGGCCTGGATTCAAGTCTGGTATAGAGTGTGTCCTGCATTATTTTGATTGGTCTTACCAGCTTCCTCCTTTGCATTAGTTATAATCAGTGCCTTTTCTTCCCCAGAGACTAAGATGTTCAGGAGGGTTTGGACACCCACCCAAGTGGGGAAAGGAGTGTGGAATATTCCTCAGACTAAATTGGGCAGGGAGGCCAAATGCCCATTTGGCATGTGTCCAGTTCTCCATTTGCTCAGCTACAAGGACCCAAGGACTTTGGACCATTTGGGGGTCCTTTTCTTCTTTTCCCATTTCCCAGCAGGCAAAGTGATTTTCCTGAAACCTGGCAGAAACAACATTTGTAATCTGCAGTGGACAGTAGTGGGGAGAGACCTGTCCAACAGAGACATGTACCCTGCCCCGGGATGGCAAATTGGGATACAACAGACCAACACAAAGGATGTGCTCTTGGGTTTTTGATTACATCCTGAAGGTGGGAATGCATCAGGGGTTCTGGGGGCTGTGAGCATTCACAGTTGCCTACTTTCATTTGCTTCAGTCAGCAGGATGCCTAGTGCTCATCTACCCTGCTCTGTGACAGACTTATCCTTTCATGGAAGTCTTCCAGTGGTAAGTGCCCTTTAAAAATGCTCAACGTGTGCCCACATTTGCAGCAAGGGTTTTCAAGAGCATTAGGACAGAGACTGAAGCTTCAATCGTATCAAGAACAGACTAGGACTTACAACACACACGGAAAACAGAGATGTTCTTACCATGTGGTGGTCTCTCGTCCAGTCTAGTCCCCTGTTGGGGAACCAGGTCAACGAGACAGCCAATTGTTCAATCTCACTCACTAGTAGAGGACTGGCTATATTTAGACAACTATGTAGTTGTATGGATCCCAAGGAGGGGTCCATACAACTTAATGTGGCAAAAAAAAGCAGGGTACACATTCAATGTAATCCCTCCAATATTCAAACTGCATTTCTCATGGAAATGGAACAAACAATCCTACCACTTGTATGGAACAACAAAGAACCCTGAATAGCCTAAGTGAGCCTAAGAAAGAAAAACACAGCTGGAAGCATCTCCCTCCGTGACTTCATACTACACTATGAAGCTACAGTAACTAAAACAGTGTAGTTCTGGCACAAGAACAGGTGTATGGGCCAGAGGAACCGAAACCCATCTGTATGTCGTCAGTTAATTCATGACAAAGGAGCCAAGAACACAAGACAGGGAAAGGACAGTCCCCTCAATAAATGGTGCCAAGAAAGCTCTACACCAAACATCAAAGAACACCAGACACTGTCAACACCACACACAAAAACTAATCTCTGCTGGGTCCTCTGAAAATGGACCCCCCCCCTTAGCAGTAAAGCATACACAGGAGGTTTCTCCCCCCCTTTTCCTCACCTTTTACTCCCACGGTGGTGCCTCCTGGCAGTTCCTGAAGACATCTGGTTCCTGCCTGCATGGACTCAACAGTGTTGTCCCAATGCTGAAACCATGGCGGATCCTGAAGAGACTGAACTTCAATCAGCAGCATGAGAAGCCACGTTCCTTCGAGAAGCCACGTTCCTTCACGAGCCAAGTTCATCAGTGGAGCACATATGCACCTCAAGGATCAGCAAGGTGGGCGTACCACCTCCTGGCTGGCCAACTGGGAAGTGCAGGCCACAACCTCTCAGTTCAGTGGAGCCCATGCTCCAAGCTGGCAAGCCTGCAGAAACCACTAAATTTGGAAATTCAAACTGAAATGGAGCCAAATATCCCATGACTTCTCCAAAAAGAGTTACAGAATAATTGGAAACCATATGCAATCAAAAGAATGTAGACACAACCAAATTCACTCAAAATTGTCCACAAATTTAAAATGGAAAACTATAAAAACTGTAGATGAAAACACAGAAGCAAATCTACATTACCTTGGATTTGGTGACGGATTTTAACACAAAACCTCAAAAGCCTATCCACAAAAGAAATAAATGAACATGGACTTTAAAAACTTTAAAAATTTAAAACATTAAACTCCATGAAATACCTTATTCAGAAAACCAAAAGACATGCCACAAACTGAAAGAAAAATTATTTGCAAAATGATAAAAGATTTGTACTCAAATTACATCAAGAAATCTAGAACAAACCTCCTTAAAACTGGGTGAAGATTAGAACAGACACCTGGCCAAAGAAGATTATACAGACAGTAAATAAGCATACAAGAATATGCCCAACCTCATATACCATTAGGGAATTACAAATGAAAACAAAGAGATAGCACTGCACACCTATTAGAATTAATAAACTCCAAAAAAAAGCCACTACTGATTGATGGGAGGTGAACAGGAACTCTCCTTTACTGCTGGTGAAATGCGTATACAGCTACTTTAAAAGATATTTTGGAAGTTTTTTCCAAAGCTAAATGAGACTCACCTGAGGATCCAACATCCTGCCTCCAGTATTTAGACAACTGCTTTTCAGAACTATGTCCAAACGCAAACAAGGATGTAATTAAGCACAGCACTTCTACTCATAATGGCTATAAACTTAAAGAAACCAGGATGTTCTTCAGTAGAAGAATGCATAAGCAAACTGGGGTACCTCCATTTCAAGGGGAGCAGAATATGCCACCCCAATATGCCTCTTGGCATAAGGATTATTTTAAGCTGATTATTTTTTGTTTTTTTTTAAAAGAAGACAACATGAGAATCTCTGAAAACCAAGATTGCCCTTTTGTGAGGGATATATATATATTTATAAGGGAAATCTCCATTTGAAAGGTTATCTCCCTTTCCATTACAAGGAATGGAAGGATGACTAAATCTCAAGAAACTCTACCAATGGAGAAAGCTACTACTTAAATCTGCATAACACCCATACCCTTCCTTTCTTTTGTCTTTAGATGAAGATGGTATTTAAGGTGATGGCTTGGGCCATTTCAGGGCGTTACTCAGTGTTCCTGAGTATCTCCCTTGCATATAGGAGGTACATATGTTATTAAACTTCTGATTTTTTGTCTCCAGTTCATCTGCCTTTCATTTTTTATGGGGGGTAAGGAGGGGACCTCAATGAAGAACAAAGAAGGGTAGAGGAAAAATTATTTTTCCTTCCATATATGCAATGGTATAGCAAAGGAGTGAACCATCAACCCATGCAAAAAACAGATGAACCTTACATGTATATTGCTAAGCAGAAGAATCCAGTCTGAAGTGCTAAACACTGTATGACCCCATTTATGACATTCGGAAACAGGTAAAACAGAGACGGTAAACAGGTTATGGGTGGGGGATTGAAATATTCCATATAATACTTCAGTGATGAATACCTGCCACTATGCATTTGTCTAAACCCAGAAACTTTTACAGCCCAACAAATAAATCATAATGTATTCAATTTTAGTTATTTAGCATATGGGAGTGCCACAGGATGCATTACAGAATTTAACAAAAACTGATTTAGTAATGTGTGAGAAAACCTCACTGTTGGTAGTGGGACAAAAGGTGCTGACCTTAGTAATTCTGGAAGTAAATGGAATCTCTAGACTAAATGCAAAATGTACTGTACCCAAACAGTGGACTCAAAGTTCTTTCCCTGCAGGCAGGAGCTAAGAATGTTGAAGCCACTGTATCTGTAATCTGGAATGGAACAAGCAATGAATTCAAAAAATGACAGATGGTGGAAGCCAGGTTTCTCACCATTGGAATAGGAAGCTACAGATAAGCAAAGGGAGAGGGTTACAATATCCATGTAATAATGGATCAGGGTGATGACATCTATATAAATTCATCTTTAGTTTAACATGGATACAGACAGTTCCACATAGAAATCTTTATAATTAGGTGTATATGCACAGGTTGGAATACATGCATATATATTTCAGTGCATTATCAGCTGAGTACATTTAGCTTTCAAATGTAAGCTTTTAATACCATCCTCTAATTAAAGGAATCAGGGCTCTTTGAAGAAATGGCTGCTACTAGGACTCAGTAAATATATGAGCCAGGACAATCTTAAAGTATCAAAGTAAAGAAGTACCAGCAGGGGGTTGGGGGTTGGGGGCTGGGGGGATGGACGACTCACAAGATGTTTTCATTTGACATAATTCCATGAGACAGTGGAGAAAGCTCTCAACAGTCAAAGCAAGAATTAACTAAGCACTCAAATACTGTACTGTACTGCTGAATTATAACCACAAGCGTAAAATAACTATTCAGGTGTCCACACTAGTAAACTGACTACAAACACTTTATGAACTGTGTTGAACAGAAATGTCCTATGCAGAAGAATTCCAAATAACTGATGTAGACACACAGCCATCCATCCATCGAGAAGGGTAACCCTAACCCTCTTCTGAAGTGTGGGTTCTTCCTAAATAAGATACACAGTATGGACATGGGAAAAATAACTTCACAGCAGGGAAAACTGACAAACAGGACCTCAGCCACGTGACCAAAGTTAACATGAATGGTGATAAGTTGCCTTGAGAGCCTGTTCCTTTGACCTAAAATGATGAGAACGCACTTGACCTCTGTGATTTGCTTCCTCAAAACCCATAAACCCAGTCTAATCATGACAGAAAAACACCACGTAAATCCGAACATGGGACAGTCTACAAAATACCTGACCAGTCCTCCTCCACAAAGAGAAACAAGGAGAGTCTGAGAAACTGTCAAAGGCCAGAAGAACCTAGACAGACATGATGACTACATGTCATGTGGTGCCCTGGATGGGATCTGGGACAGAAAAAGGAAAAACAAAGGGAACTAGAATAAAATATGGACTTCAATTAATATATAAAAAGGTATCAATATGTGTTCATTCATTCTGACAATTCTGTAGGAAGCTAGAAGGAAGGAAAAATTAAAAGTCATAAGAGAAAGCTATTGTATCAAACTGGAAATGTAGAGGAAATGGGTGATTTTGTAATAAAAACACATTAATAAATGCCCCTAAAATAAGGCAAATACAAACAGACCAATTAGCCACCCAGGGACCCCTTTCCCCTGCTGGTTCTCCTCTCATTACTCTGGGGTTTCCCTCTTCTAGACAGGGAAGGAACAAGAACAGAGATGCCCAGCAGCTCCCCTAAGATCTGACCCCAGTCAGTGTTTCCACCTCTGCCCACCATGACCCCCCAAATGAGGACACCCTGCCAAAGGGAGCCTCAGGGATTATTGGTTCTGATGTGTCAGCAAGGAATTTTTTGATTCCAAGGGGCTGGACACACTTACTGATAGGAAATAAGTTAATAAATTTAATAAATTTCTTAATGATAGGAAGAAAATAATATACTTGCAAGAGGCAGTTATAGGAGTGGTTTTGAGCCTGGTGAGACAAGCTCACACTCTCACAGTATGACCTGGTCCCTTTCTCTTACTAAGTGACTTTGTGGTGGCCCCATCCATAGGCACAGTCTCTCTCTCTGCATCAGGAGCCTTCAGCAACTCCAGGCTAACACCCACTCATGTCCATCCTACTGGGAAGGGTCTCTCCTTCTTTAGGTTCCATGAAAAGTCATGGCTTTAAATACCTTTGCTCTGGCTTGGGTCATGGTCTCATGCTTGAACCCACCAGAGCGCCAAGAGGATGGCACATGGGATTGGCTAGAGGTGGATCATATGCCCATCTTCAAGGGGGGGTGGTGGAACATGGGATCAATCCTCTGCAAATGTGTGGACCGGAAGCAGGCAAGATGTAATTCCCAAAAGCTGAGATGTTGAGAATAGATGCTGGGCTGGGGAAAGCAGCAGATACCACGTTACTGACAGCCTACTGCATAGCTGTGTATCTGAAGCCCAAGGAAGGACGGGATTCACTTAGGGTCAGAGGCTGTGGCCACTCATCCAATCCTGCCCTCCCAGTTTGGCAAGAAGCTCTTCCACTTGCTGAAAAAGCAACTTTGTTGCTGGTGGTAAACTCAAGGTTCCTGGTTTGGGCATCCGGTCCTCACATTTTAAAGACTGGCCAAGAATAGCCTGTGTGCCCTCAAAAGGCACACAGACCTCATTCCTGGCCCTGGGGGGTGGGAGCCATGCCTACCCCTTGGCCACATTACTCACTCACCCACAAGGAACAAATTTGCTCATTTTCCAGTCTCTTCTCTCTATGAAGAGCAGAGACCAACTACTTGCTCATTTTCCAGTCTCTTCTCTCTATGAAGAGCAGAGACCAACTACTACAGTTGCAGATAAATTCTTATTCAATGAAACAGAGGGAGTCTCATGGATTATTTTATACCATGATAACACAGTTGGTGTCTTTCCAGAGACCACAGGGTATGGGCCAGGGATGTATGTATCTCCCCAAGGCCATATGGCCACAACATGAAACTGCCTGTTAGGAGGCCCAGATGCTTCCATACCTTTGATTCTCAATGAACATGAATGTCAATCTTTGTTACAACCAGAAGGTCAAAGAATTTCAGGGCCACAGTCTGTTCATTATTGTCATGACCAGGGCCAAGCTCAACATTTGGAGGGTTATTACTTGTCTTGGCAGGCTAAGAGGCTGTAAGGGAAAAGACATTTGTCTCAATGACATGGATGTTGGGAATTGAAACATCCCAAGGAACTGTCTAGGCTGCCCAGGTTGTTGTTCAATTACCCAGCAGCACAATCAGTAATTGGCCACAGGGGGCTTGAGGGGCCAAGGCTGACCTGAGCTGGAAGACCATGGATGTCTGCCTGGATGCTCAGAGGCCAAGGGCTGTTCTGAGACCTGTTTCTACACCCATGC